GATCTTACTATCCGAACAAGCAATTCTCAGTCTAAACAACCATCAATCAGTCAGGCCTGCGGGGAACTAAGATGGCTGGTGTGGAAAATTCTGTGGAAAATCCCTCGAAGAGAGCTTCATCGCGCCATCTATGGGACGTCATATGTACGAGAATAAGTTCAGGTTATTAAATAAAATAATTAAATAAATTCGAAATCGCTTTTCTAGAGGAAAACCTAACTCGCCAACCAAAAAAATTTGCAATTACGACCATTGGATTTATTCTCGCCCTACGTGCAGGGTCGAAAGGCTTCTGCAATCGCCAGAACTCCTCAATTGACCGATTACAGGCCGATCCGAACCGTGAAATTGATATTGACAGAGCAGCGAATTTGATGAAAAGGCGCCACGAGGTGGCGCTGTTCGCGCTTCGCGCGTATATCCGGCTGCAGATCGTCTAGTAACGAGTCTCAGGGTTTTACAGTAGAAGTACCACAAAATATTGATAAATGATAAGTGTTTTTGTACAAGGGAGGAACTCACGTGATGCTATCCGGCACGGAGGAATATGCGTCAGCAATATGCGGTATTCTCTCCACAGCTGTAGTCAGCAGCTTGAAGGCAGTTAGCGCCGCTGCGATCTGATTCTTGCCATTCTCCCAGAACAGCAATGCCATCTGGTGGCGGTTGTTTAACACAGACCAATAGAACAGCTCACGTTCTGGATTCTTCAGTCGGTCATCAGAAACATTGTCAGCTAATACGAATAGTTGATAAAGAAAATAATGTTAGCAATACACCTTTAATTGCCTACATAGCATTTGAAACCAAACGAACGATCAGTGAGAACGTTTGAGATTCAAACGGTGGATTCGCGACCACTACGGATGGTCGGATTCCCCGGACTCATGAGGGCGCCTCTAATGAGTAACAAAAAACAAAACAACAATTGATATAGCTATACAGGAACCACATGTTAATATTTAAAATCTAGCAGTGATATACATCAGACAAGTGAATAAACTACACAGCAGGAGAAATTACTTTACTAAAGAGATAATTTGCTAACAAGAGCCGCAGAGCGACTGGGCTTATTTGAGGTCTGTTGCTATGGTTATAAACGTAACATTTCAGTCGTGCGTAGTGACACCTTTGTTAGGCACAGATATGCAGATACGCAGTAAGTACACATCATTTCAGCAAACATTTTTTTATTGCAGAGAGAGCGAGAGAGAGGGATGCGAGAGAGAGAAAGAGGGAGGGAGAGAGTCAGTCCGACTAAATTGTTTATAAACAAATAACACCCACGCGGCGCGCTACTGTATCATTTACGTCATCGATTGAAATGTACATTCTGATTTCGCCGCGCGGCGTCCAATCTTTTGACGAAGATGGCGGGCAGAGGATCAACACATTTCGACTGACAGTCAACCATCGTGCTCTGCAGCCTCCACAAGCCAGCATGCTCCACCATATCCCGACATTGCACACTACTGTAACGTCGACGAAGAGAGCCATGCCAAGGACACTACAAAACTGGCAAATTTTCATTGGTAGGTTTGACGATTCATTTCTACAATTACGTATCTCAAGATTGATTAAACTGAAGTTAAAAAAGCAATTCTTTCTGCCCTTTTGAGCGCAATATACATTTGACCTATCCTGCCGGGACATTCTTCTCACTCTGTTCCGATAGATGGCGTGCATACTGACTATGTGCAGAGAATAGATAATCCGAACTAGTTGCTACCTTCGTTTAGCCCATGCTGTGATACTATCAGCCACCCACCTGACATGCAGCTAGGGCCTGCATACCTCCCAAATCCCATTGGTTGATACAAATCGCGTGCCTGAAACTCTTGTT